TAATGGATTATAATTATCTCGGTTGTCGCCGTTGTCGGTCACCGGGACAGTGCATCGGTATATATGTATTTGCGAGTTGCGACTCGCTGTGAATATTATTATCATTACCTGGAAGTCTTGCACTCGGGCACTCGACGATAATTTTTCAATAAAATTCCTAGAATGCACCGCAGTCCACAGTGAACACCGACATGTCGATATTTATCGATAGTCGTAAGCACTCGTAAAGTCGTAATTCTGAATAGACTACCTATGAAGTATAGGTATTGGTATTAAATATTATTAGCTCTGAAACGCTTTAAACGACCTGTCGTTTGTCGTTAAGAACTCAAGAGTCAGTTATTAGTTTATTACTTACTACTTAGCATTGAACATATTAATTATTATTTTGCATATAGTTCTAAATATATTTAATAAACATAATAAATATAATTTTAAAAATGAGTTTAAATATTACTGATGTTAATGAAATTTCAAAGTGGAGTTCTTCACGTATTCTACAATATTTCACTAAAGTCAGTCAATATTTGTATAACTGTAATATCTGTACAAAAGTTTATAAAACACCCAATGGTGGTGTTCAAAATTTAAGAAGCCATTTAATAACCGAGGGTAAAAAAGGAAGAGATAAAAAAAGAAAATCGCAATCTACATTGGAAAATATTAATAAAAAACAAACATTGGGTAAAAAAAACGGTAAGTATAAAAATTAAGTAAAAATTAAAGTTAAATATCAAGTCCATGTGCAATAAAAATTAATTTAAAATAAAATTGTTATGAGGACATGACGTGGTTTATATTCTTAAATAATATTTACAAAGTATTATTAAATATATAAATAATTATTTGAAAAATTGTAATAGTTTTAATTTTAATAGTAGGTATTGAAAAATAAAAATAATATACTGAATAATAATAAAAATGTATTGCCTGGAGTATTATATTTTGCAGCACAAATTTTAATATTTAATACGACAGATTTCGATTCTTTAAATCAACACTTATATTTTATTACCTAGTATTGAAATATTGTATAATTTTATAGTAGCTCTTTAATATTTATTATTTTGGGCGTCCATGAATAATTGTAATATATATTTTTATAAAATTAGAAACATTTTTAATTAATTATTATTTATTTATATGCATAAAAATACTTTGGTATCAACATTTAAAACTTACTATGTAGGTACTTATATTAGTTACTAATAATCTAATCTTGAAAAAAATATCAGAAACACAAGAAATTGCAAGTGAAAACGAAAATGCATTTAATATTGATGATCCGCCTGCGACTTAAGCAGAACTTTCGCCATCTTCATCGTCAGCTACATTAATTAATGATGGCGCAGGATGTTCACGGGTATAATAATTATTATTTATATTAATTATAATTAATATAATTTCAATAATGATAATAGTTTACTTTAAAAATCTAAATTACACCTAACAATAAATTATACGTTTGTTATAATTATATTTAACATTTTTTTCTACTAAGGATTTTCATAAAAGTGACTCGTCAATAAGGGAATCTACATTTATTGCCTTCGATCAATCGAATCCTACTAAAAAACAGCAAACTTTGCCGAATATGATGTACAACATTTCTTCATTTTCAGGTAATTAGTATTCATATAACTTTATTTTTCTACCTATTTAAATATATTTTTATATTTTAACGAATAATAATAATATATTTATAATACCTAGTAGGTATATATTATATTACATAGATATAACACAACTTAAAAAAGTTTGATATATAAAATATCTAAAATAAAGACTTTTTCTACGCGTTTTTACGATAAAATATAGATACTTTTAGTTATAATTTTGAAAATAATATATA